GGGGGGGGTAGGAAAGCAGCGGACAGGGGGGGGTAGGAAAGCAGCACGGATGAGAAGCAGGAAGCCTCTCTCTCTCTTGCATAGTAGTAGCAGTAGTTGTTGTTGTCAGACTTGGTCTCACCTCGGGAGTAGTTAGTTTGATTGGAGGGGGCGGGTCATCATAGCAGGGGAAAGCCGTACAAAAATCGCACGCAGAAGGTAGGAAAGTTGAGCGTTGTAGAGGTCTCTCTCTTACACACACACACATGCTCGTAGTTCAAAGCAAACAAAGAAACGAAAGCAACAGACATCAATAACAAAGTATGGTTAACTCACGTCACGCATCATAGCGTGGTCATCTAAAAGCCTCGATGCAATGCACTGGTCAGCATCCAACCTTCAGCATGTGGAGCCCAACCTCCAGCAAGTAAAAATGCTTAGTGTGTGTGTTCAGTCTGGGTGTGTTTGTGTATGTGACTGTGTTGTCATGTTTGCTATACCCAACTCCGTAAAAATGTTTCGTCGGACTTCCACTGACTCATCAGGAGGTTGAACCCCGACAGTCTACCCGGGATGCATTTGGCTGATGGATAAGGACTCACCATGTCGTGTGTGTGTGTGTATGTGCCAGAGTTTCGTCGGGTCTCGTGTGTGTGTATCCACATGCCAGGTCAAAGTCAAAGTCAAGCGTGGTAGTCTACAGAGTGAAGTAGCATAGGGGTCGGTCTTTCCCACACCATAGGATTTGCCCGTGCCACCACCAAAAAAGTGGAAGTCAGTAGTGCAGAGTAGGGTAGGATAGAGGCGGTCTTCGTACGCCGTAGGATTTGCCTGTGCCGCCGCTGACAAACAGTACACTCGCTGCCACCAAAAGGAAAGAAGTTACATCACCGGCAGCCTACGGGAACCGGTTTGCCCGTTGGGGAGCCTGTGCACAGAAATGGCCCGCTTCAGTGGGTGAACCGGTTCCCAGCAAAAGACTCGATCGTGACCGTCACGTTCTGCCAGATTGACGGTCAGGATCGGTGGGCGGTCTTAAGATCTTAAGACCGTGCGCCGAACCGGACCGTCGATCCGGCAGAACCCAATGACCGTGATCAAAGATTTACTACATATGCCCGGCGATCCAGCCCGTCAACCAGTAGGACTGTCAACGGCCTGGATCACAGGTTGGTTCCGTTAGCAGTTTTAATAGTGTAGGGATAGCAAGTTTATACAGCTTTCGCCCACAGTTGTTTGAATCCGCGGCAATCTTCAGAATTCTGATGAAGATTTTGAAACCCTGGGCGTTAGCCAGCACACTTGCTTCCTCCCACAGTTCCTCTCACAAGGCCATTTGAGCAACAGTGTCGACCTTCCTTCCACAACTCTTCCCACCTGATGTTCCTGTCGGTCCCAGAACCGCCAGAGTTGAGGTCCATGCAAGGGTCATAAATTTCACTGATACCATAGTGGAAACTGACTTGGTTTTCTCTTTCGAATTTAATTCCCCAATTCCAGTGTCAAGCGACTCCTTGCCCAGTATTCTCCGATGCCAATGAGCGTGCCATCCATGCCGAATTGTTCATAGTGAGATGATTTGTGAAAGAGCTGGTTGCAAGGGATGGTAGTCACTCTAAACAGCAGCATTATAATTATTCTGTGAAGGCCTGGTCTGTTCTGAAGCCTTACCCAATGGCATTTCAGACCAACAATCACAGGACAGGAATACGAGGGTCAACCACAGGCTCAACAAAGACTCGACAACTTCCACACCCTTCCTGTACAGTGCTTGCCTCACTTCTTGGGAATGATTTACAGAAAAAGTAGTAGCAGCTTATTGGGAATAGCAGTGTCAAGACCGGGCAACTACCGACTGTAAGACAAAAATGATTGAATAACAAGACAGGTAAGTACAGCGAATACAGCGGATACAGCGAATACAGTGAATATAGCGAATACAGTGAGTTCAGCGACTACATTCAGTATAATGAGTGCACTGTGCACTGAATATACTGGGTCAAACCACAGAGCCTTGTGAAAACATGAAAACACAGGAATACCTGAGTTCAACCCGTACACAAGATGGTGAAAACAAGATAGGGGTTTGCAAAATGTGGAAAAGAAGTGACTCTCTTACCTCGTACATCCAAAGAGTAGAGGGAGCCGTCTTTGTTGACAAAAGTCCTCTGAAGAGGAGATCCGAAATTGCAACGTCTAAAGGCACTTCAGAGATGACCCTCCAGAATGGCTCAAGAGAAACGACCAATTGGATCGTGTCAGTCATCAAACTCTGGAGGCAACCGACACAGCCAGGCGCAACACCAAAAACATGCGACCATGTTTTAGTCTGGCTGCACGTATGAAGGGGAGGATTTAGACTGACACACTAATGTGCAGTTAGCATTCAAACAAACATGCTCATCAACCATTGTCATAGTTCAAAGCACCGTAGAAACCATTCTATGCCTTCCCCTCCAACCTCCTACTTCCGAGGTTAGCACTAGAGGTCCCAGCTAGGAATCCGCATGGTTATACCATCCACAAGTAGCTTCTCACCTGGAGACAGAAAAGTGATTCGACAAGGGTTATGGCTCGATGGAAAATGCGAATGGATGGTGATGTCATGGCTGTCAAAGCCACACTTGAAAGCATATCCCACGTCTCCAGCCATGAGCTTGCAAGTGCCTCTGACGGCTCTTCGGACCTTGGCATCTCTGTTTCCTTCTTCAATATCATTGACGCCTGATTTGCACAAACAGAAGATCCACAGTACACATACCAGTAAGAAAACTCCGAAAAGTTTGGCGAAAACAAAAATTATTGATGAGCCATTTCTCAACCATGCAAAAAAGAAAAAAAGAAAAAAAGAGGAGCCACCATTCTCCAAGCTGACATTATAATTACGGCATCATTTGGGCTCTTCGGACGCTCTACCTTGTCAATATATATTCGGGGGTATAGGGTGGTTGGCAGGGTTGTCAGACCGCCTACAGCTGACACCGACCGTAGGCCACCGGCTCGCCCACCAGTCCACAGAGCTGTAAGAAAACTCCCAAAACAAAAATTAATGATAAACCATCATTCAACCATGCAAAAACAAAAACAAAAAGGAGCCACCACTCGCCAAGCTTGACATTATTATTACGGCATCATTTGGTCTCTTTGGACGCTCGACCTCGTCAATACATATTCGGAAGTACAGGCTGGTTCACAGGGTTGTCAGACAGCCTACAGCTGATGCCTACTGTAGGCCACCAGCTCGCCCACCAGTCGGGGCGACCTGTAGGCGGTCTACCAACCAGTCCGTAGAGGGCCATTTGCCTTTTTTTTTCAAATCCGAGTACAGAGCTGTACTGCGCTTGCCGAGTACAGCCCAATTCCGCTGACAAACTTTTGGGGATTGGGGGGGTAC